CCGACTTAAATACGGAAGTACACGATGCTCGAAGAGAGAGAAGTGCGTCCTGTAGTTGCGACAGCGAGAGCGGCGCATCTTAACTCTTTACATCGCTACAATGGAAGTGGATGCGACTTCATGACGCTTGAAAGGTCGAATTGGTTAAAAAAAAAAAATCTCCCTCCGATGCTTGTGCAGAGCACTGATCATGGAAAGTCCCACCACGGTAAACCCTTTTCCTCAATTGAATCCATTAGTGTCAATATGTAATTACAAGAGTCGTCTTGATATGAGCCATCCTCAATTTTCACCGAAACGAGTTGGCAAGCTTGAGGAGAAAGCATTTGGTCGCAGAGTTGGTCGCTCATGTGTATGATGTTGGAGTCTACCATCTCTGTACAAACGTGTGAAAATGTGCTCATACTATCGGGCAATGGGAGAAGCGAGCCGCTATCCATAGTACGAGGGCTGTCCGCGTTAAGTATTTCACTGGAAATGCTATCGGAGCTTGTCTCCTTGGAACCCTCCTCCTTGGAACCCTCCTCCTTGCACGGTGTCAGGGCATCGTTCCTGCCATTAACTTCGGCGGCTATCCTTTCCGATTTCACAGGACCTTCGAATGTCTTCAGCGAAGAAGGCTGAGACATTGATATGATTCTTTTTCTTTTCTCCAATATTGGATCCGCAGAATTCGGTATTGCGGTTTGTATCTTTTCCGTCAAACACTCCATCTGGTTGGAAAGCAACAAACAAACAAACAGTTAGCTGCTATCTTTTCAATGGAAATCAACGTGCTTAAAATGATAAAACCCCGCACTCAAATCACCTTAAAATAGGCATACCTTCGTATATTTCCAGAACGCGCTGAAGGCCATGATCGATGGCACGATTACAGAGGGGGGGGGGGGGGGGGAGGTAGTAAGTAGATTCAACGAATCTAAGACTATAGCGATTATGAAATAGTCCCCTAATTTTTTTCAATAGTAAGCTGAGGAAACTTATTCCAATGGAACCCTCACCTCGTCCTGTAGCTCTTGCTTTTCCTGCAGCACAGCTTCAAATTCGCTTTTGAGCCGGTTGTAATCCAAGGTAAGGACCTCGTAATCCCTCTCTAACTGCTTTGTTTTCCAGCGTGCGCGACGATTTTGAAACCACACTGCCACTTGCCTGGGCTGAAGTCCAAGCTCATTAGCAAGCTGCATTTTTCTTTCTGGCTCGAGTTTATTCTCAATCTCGAAGTTTTTCTCGAGTGACCTGACTTGATCGAAGGTAAGTCTTCTCTTCTTAGATTGTTGAATGCAATCATCCCCAACATCTTCTTCACCAGGATCTTCACCTGACGCTTCGATAGTAGAATAGTAAGGTCGCTTTTGACCGCAACTAACAGTATCCTCCATGCCTCCACCTCCAGGTTGAGCTGCAAAATACGTGAGTAGGGGAAGAAAAAAAACATGTTAGACGCGACAGATACACGTGCTTCCGAGTCTACTGGCTATATCTCCAAGCATAGATCAATGTTGATGACCACAAGAACATGATCCATCATAATTACTTGACTTAGTGATCACAATTGATATTTTAAGTTGACAGAAGGCTCTGTTCAAACAAAGAAAATGCAACTACTTGTTCGGACGCTCGAGGCATATTCAGCTAAACTACTGCACTCAAGCGACGTTGCGAATCGTAATCCCGCGCATTCAACCACTTTCGAGTCATAGAGGGAAAAACCAGTTTCGAGATCAATGCTGGTTTCTGATTCTCGCATCATGACTGACTAGTATTGAGTTTACATTGCAACAAATCCATCTCCATGACCTCCCTCGACATTTACTCTCAAGTATTAAGAACACAAAACTTCACAAGATTCTTATGGTCAACAAACCTTGAACCGCAGCAGCAGGAGAACAAGAGGCAAGCATGGCAACCAAGCTGCTGCCCGAGCTATCGTTTCGCACATGCATGACATTGGAACCACCGACACAGCCTCTGCCGTTATTTGCCATCTCAAACCAGGTGGTGTCGCCTGTGGACTACACACCGGGTAAGCTCAACGGTTCTGGATGCCTAAGAGTACTCGTCTACGTTCAGGTATCCCAACATTGCCGTGTAAAGTCCCCGCATTGAACTACAGTTTCCAGCGGGACGGTCGTGACTACACACCACAGCACCTCTACACTCTAATCCTCAGATCTCCTCTCCCCTTACTAGCTAGTTCTGTCCAAAACCCCTGGCTACTACAAACATCACCTTTCCGATCTCCGCCTCACTGTTTTTCTCCTTTCACAACCTCCTCTCACACACACAAGCTTGAAAATCTCTTACCCTCCACTCCACTTCTTCCCTGCCTCTAGTACAAAAAAAACACATGCGCGCGCATTCAAAGTGACCAAATCTAATCGCATCTGGCAAAGACCGCATAAACACAACGAGCTCTGCTGGAGATCAGCGGCCTAAAGTACTATGCTCAGCTCTGGCGTGGCTTCCAGACAAGGCGCAACTCTATATATCAGCAAAGTGCCGCTAAAACAGAGGCTCTCACAAAAAGCCAATCCCAACTACCGCCTGGTCCCGTTTCCCCGCATGGTGTGCCGCGCTCTCCTCCTCACAATTTTCTATTAATTCGCTTGCTCCATATCCAGGTCGCTTAAGTCCTCTGACCTTGGTATAGATTCCACCTTAATCTCCCGCTTAACACATCCTCACATTAAAAAATTAAATCCTATCGCTAAAATCTCTTCCTCGTCCATTTGAACGCGTTTCAACACTGTCATGAGACTCCAGCTCTGCAGGCAGCGACAAGTGCATGTCGGTTCAAGACCCTGACTCTGCCATATCCACCCGGTCCCTCTAATCCACTAATCAGCATTTGCAATTTTCCAGCGTTTTACCACCGACAAGCTCTGTCTCATCGCTGAGTTACAGTCCCCACTTTGACCAAATCCTGATGAAGGCCATTACTGCTCCTCAGCCTGCCTGCAATCCCTGCAATTCCTGCCTGCCTGCCCTGCCCCACCGCGTGCTGCGTTGGATCTATCTCTGGGGACGGAGCAGTAAGCAGGCAGCAAGGCGAGCCCTCCTCACAAACAAACAAACAAACAAACAGTCGGCTCCTTGTTAAGCACGCTCGTCGTTTTCGTCTTCTTCGTAATACCGCCCTTCCGCCCAGGCAAGGCCCCACTGGGTTGCTGGGTGGGTTGTGTTGGTTGGTTCCCAACGGCGTGTCAGTAAGAATCCATCTGGAGAACCTTTCATCCCACATGAGAGACACAGTTGTGTTGTGGGTTCCCTGACCCAGCACCAAAACCATACAATTATACAACAACACATATAACTTAACAGGAAAAAGTCTACATGGATACACACCAATATACATATACCTCTATATAAATAATAGAACATTGTTTTTTTGTGATGGGAAAGGTACTCTATACAAGTGTATATGATCTAATTTGTTATGATTATAATCTAGTTGGGTGTACATGATATTCCCCTAGCTAGTTTCATCTTATGAGTACACCTGGTTACGTATGTTGTTGATGGTGTGAACATGTAGCTTGTATTGCATACGTAATGTTGTAATACGTAATGGTAATATGTAATATAACATAGGATGACCCTAATTAACGGGTCATTGTAGACGAGACAAAATATGGATGGCATTATGTGGAGTGTCTGAGTTGCTCCCAGGGTGACCAAGGGGGACATCCTAAAACCCTAATAAATTAAAAACATTATTTTAATTACTTATACCAGCTGGGTGTACCACGGGTACACAGGCCATACTATATATATTCTTGTGGTGAGATTTAATCCAATTATTTAAAGAGGGAAACCCATTCACTCCCAGGAGGATTTTAAATGGGAATCGTCTCCAAAGTAGCCTGAAGATGAATCCAGAGATGCATGCACTGACCCCAAATTTAGGCATTTGACCTCACGGTTTAATGTTAAAGCTTCCAATTGAAAGCAAAGCAAGCAAATGAAGGAAGAAAAATAAATAATTAGAGGAAAACAACTCTGACCCTGTAATACATACAAGCGTGAGAGAAATGTCCTCAGACACATGCAACGTGTGATCTGTTTTTAAAAAGTCGTGCTACTTTTAACTTTTTAGTTTTTGTTCCCTTTTTGCCTGTTTTTCTATTTACTCGCATCTGCTTCCTTTGTCCTGAATAGATTAGTTTCTCTGTTTTAAGCTTAACACGAGGGTAGTACCAATCAAAGTATCACGTGGGGTAAAATACTCTGGCTTGTTCATGTCGAGGTAACGAGAATTAGAATGTTTGCTTGATTGGTTATGTTACTTTTATTTTTTATTATTTTATTTCACTTGCTGGTAAGTCTTCTTTTAAAAGAAAAACACACACACACAAACATCATTTCTTCTATAGGAAAATAAGTATTATGAAAACCAGATCTTGTCTTAAAAAATCTATCCTCTTTAATCTTTGTAATGCCATAAAAGCTGAATAGCTGCCATTCTCTTTTAATATATATATATATATATATATATATATTGGCATCTTTATATATATATATATATATATATATTGGTATACTTCAAGATAAAAACATTATATTTTGTGTAAAATAATTCACATTCTTTTTTTTCTTTTTTTTTATTTAAGCACAAAAAGACGGAGATAATATAAGTTGTTTAAACCATAAAGAAATGATAGTGTGCAATTGTATGCATTTGTGCATGACAATCCATTTTATTCATCCAAATTAAATAAATCGTAAATGATTATTTAATAAAAAAATATATGTTAACATTCACCGTTGCATTGATGGTCTAAAATTTATAGTACTACCCAAACAAACAAACAAACAAAAAAGAAAAAGATTTACATCAGATATTTGAAAAACTCACAAATGAACCAGAAAGAAGATGCTTGTGCCTAACAGTTTTTTGAAACAAAACTTAATGTCTTACAATTTGTAGGCTTCGTTAAAAAAAAAAAAAAAAACTATTATTCTCTTACATGCATATTCATATGCTGAATATGGGTTTTTCATTTTTTTTTTTTTTTCCCCAGAAAATCTACCTACAATACAAAATATGCTCAATACTATTATATTTTTAAAAAGTTACCTAACAATTAAGGCATAATGTCACTTTTCATAAATTGAAACTTATAAGTTGTTGATCTTATATATGTACACATATTCAGTGGCTGTGATATGAAGTACATATTGATAATTAAAAACACGGGAATTTTGTACACAAACAAACACGATACTTATTCTAAGTTCATTGGGTTGCAACACAGATAATATATTTATTTCCACTTTGGTAACTATTCCAAAATTATTATACATATATACATGAATATATAAACATATTTCACCACCATTACAACCCCGGATGGGGACAGACTCGCAAGGTATTCAAAAACCCCAGGCGGAGATTTCGAGGTCTAGTCTCTCCTTTCCTCATGCACGCAGAAGTGCAGCAACGCGCTCTTCCGAGAGCAGCCATTCCTCCGCCACACGAGCAGCTCGAGCTCCTGAATATGGTGCTGAAATTGGTTATTGATTCGTGGAGCACCTGGATTTCCCTCACTGGAGCAAACCCATAGGAGGGGTCAATGAAAAGCAAGCCCTCTTGGAAGAAACAAACGAAGCAGTATGAAATCGTGGACAAATAATAATAAAATAAAATAAAAAAAACAAAAAAACAAATATGTGTAACCTTCGAGTAGTCCACTTTTTCCATCAAGGAAGACGTCGCCCGGCGAGTCAATATCCGGTCTGGTAGGAACACAGGTTGAAGTGACTCACGCGCACACACGATCACAACTCTTCAGAGACTTTCCATTTTCTCTGAGACTTTGCGTTCATAGAACCTGCTGCCATCCGTTTAGATCAAAACGCTTCTTTCCGGTCGAAATTAGAAACGGCCACGTTATCATGGGCACGATGCGCTCTCCAGCATTCTACCGCGTGTTGAAACAGCCAATATCTGTAGAGGAAATGGGTATCCGGCAGAAATTTGTATTAGGTTTCGGGGCAGGCGGGTCTGAGTCAGTGGTCAAGCGTCAATCAATTTGGTATTGCCCCGCGAGGATGTGTGATCACGCTTCGGGGCTGACTCCTGCTGCTAATCCACATTACAGCGCAAATTCTGCCAAAGGGCGGGTCAAAGATGCTGACTAAGAAAAGACAAAATGAGCGAAACGGAATTGGAGAGTCGCACAACCCAGTCAACCAGATTTTCGCGTACAGAACAGCTGACTTCTCAAACCTGGCTTGCCCAACAACCTCTTATGCGCCCGAACTCAACACCTTCCTTTGAAGACTCAAAACAGAAATTGCACCACATGCGTCATTACGCAGGAAATATCTCAAAAACCAACACGAGCTTCTTCTTCTTCTTCCTCCCCCTCGATCCTGGGCAACCATATCCACAGGCAACCTGACAGACGGAAGCTCTTTTAGGGTTTCACTCCTCTACAACTTTGTCAAATATATTTTCATCCATCTTACTCCTGACTCTGTCCAATGTATCTTCATCCATCCAACTTGGTAAGCAGGCTTCTAACTCCAGTACTCATCCAGCGTCTGAATGGTATTGGTTTTGTTGTTTCGTGGCCTTTCGGAGCTCAAAACTTGGACATGTGGACTATTACAAGACTAACAAAAATAATCATCATCAGGGACTTTACTGGATACCAATATATATATTAAAGATTGGTTGAACATTTTCAAAGCAGAAAAATTATAAATATAGAAGACATATATTTTCTGTTAATGTAACCCTAAAAGACTAACAATGAAAATTTTATAAGATTTCAGATATATCATATATTCTATTATAAAAAATGTAGGTTCATTGATGTTATAGTTGATGCAAATAATTTCATGAAAATATTATACATATACATGAGATTCAAAATTATACATAGATTTTTTAATATTCAAAACTCACTTACAGGAAATGTCTAGTTAAATCATTATTGTGGAACCAAAATGAAATAAATATTAATCCATTATGAGGAATAGTATTATATACACTAATAATATAGCATTGTGTGTACACACACACACATATATATGTAAATACATATATATATATATATACATATATATATATATATATATAAATACATAAATATATATATACATATATATATATATATATATATATATATATATATAGAAATACATATATACACATTTGAAACTTTTGTAAATGATTAAATGGTTAAAGATTTCTTTTTTGAAAATATATTTTTTAGATTAAAAATCACAAAGCTATAATTCTAAATAACTAACTAGTCATTACACACATATATATATATATATATATATATATATATATATATATATATATTGAAATATATTAGTATCTAAAAAATTTATTTAATAATCCTTATAATTTTAAAAAAATGAAATATTTTAGCACAATTATTAAATTTGAAAAAATAATATGATACTTTAAACTTTAGACAAATTTAGAATTTAGATGAAATTATATTTTATATCTTTAAAAAAATTTATACAAAATGGTTTTATTTTTAAATAGAATAATATTAAAATATTATTAGTATGTAAAACTAATCAAATCTTATAAAATATACATTAGTTTTTTATTCCTTCTTTTTTTCTTTCTATAAAAAATAAAATATATGTATAAATAATTTATCTTTTTTGATATATTAGACTTATTGCATTATATATTATTAGCTAATTACTCATAAAATTATATTAAATTTTATTTTTAGAATTATTGAGAATTATAAATGTAAACATATATTAATTAAATATTTAATTAATTTTTAAAATTACTACATCTTTGTCATCTTTTTCTCTGTAATATATAAAATTATGCCACATAGTTAGTGGTAATTAAATTTATACTATTTTAAGTTTAATCACATTATTTTTCAATGCAACTAAATATATATACAATGCTTTTTTGAAGAACATTCCAATTTTTACAATACTCTATATATTTTTAGTTATTTTCATACTTATGTTTTTTTTGTTTAAGAATTAAATATTTTAAGTCCCTATATTTATTATAGCAGAAATATTATTGTAATAGTTTAGGACATTTGTAATTAGATCCCTTTGGAACAAACTTGTTCTTCAAGGTATGTAGTACATTGATTCCATTAAATATAATTTTATATGTACAATGCACCTAAAACTAATAATAATAAAGTCAAAGATATTATATTCTCTTTGTAACATAATCAATACAAATAGACTTGTGCACAATTAATTACCTATGTGTATTTTAGCAACTAGGTTTTTAAAAAGATTATTAATTAAATTTTTTTTTCTACAGAATAGATTTATTATTTCATACATCTCATATTAGAGATTAAGATAATAGGTATAACCTTTCTTGGCCATTTTTTTTTGTTGAATAACTTACTTCTATTACTTGAAATGAAGACTTTGATTTTGGATATAATTTTTTTAAAATAATTTAAAATAATTTAATTTTTAGAAAATATACTTATTTGATTCTTTAAACTTATGTATATATATATATATATATATATATACACACACACACAACTGCATAGATTTTATACCACTTATAATTTTGTAGCATATGTGATTCTATTACTTTAAATTGTTGTGCTTTACAACTTGATTTATACAAAAAAAACATAAATTTATTTATTTATTTATTTATTTATTCAACTTTATTATCAATTCTTACACAAGTTAATTTTTTGTTAATAATAGTTGTTTGTATTATTGTTTAGCTAGAAGATTATTTATAACAAGAATGATTTTATAATTTCTTAAAATACACTTATTTGTAATTAAAGTCGCTAGAACCTTTTGAAACCTTCTTTTAGATTCTAAAGCTTCCAAAAAGTATTTTGAATTTTCTAGGAACCCTCAATAAGCTTTGACAAGTTTTAGTGTTCATATAAAGTCATTTCAGACCTTTAATAGTCTTTCAAAGGTTTCTTCACAAGAGGTTTTGAAACTTTTACAAAACCTCAAAGTTCATATAAAATTTGACATAATTAAAAATCTATATATTTGAAAAAAATTATAAAATAATAAAATTATAAAAATATTTCTAGTATTTGTGCAAAAATCTACAAATATTTAATGTGCAGTTTTATTTCAAGGTTAGAATGCAAGTAGAAAAGTGACTCTCATATATTTTCTATTTCAATTCATAAATAATTTTTTTTCTAAAATTAATAAAATTGACACAAAAATATAAATATAAACAAAAGAATCAATATGATATAGAGTTTTTTTCTTTGACACATTTAAATACATGCACAATTTTAATTCTACTAAGTTAATTACTAGAGCCATTTAAGGTCTTAAAGAGTGTATGAAGTTTAACTTAAATATCTACTATACAAGATTATATTCTTTTTAAAATGAGTAAATGAATGTAAAAGGTAAATTAGTAGATTTAGTTTTTTTTAGATATCATTAAATTATAGAGAATATTATCATATTATAATATTCTAATATAAATATTCAAATAAATTAGAATTGAGTTACCAATGTTTATGAAAGATAAAATAGTCTATATAATTAACACATAAAATTTGTGACAAAAAGGTTTTGATGCATAAATTACACAATTAAGTACATATTATAAAAAACAGCGATAAGAAAGAGACATATAAGGAATATCTAAAACTCAATTAGATAATTTTAAGTTATTTAACATATTATCAAGTAGTATTTTTCAAATATAAATATCATAATAATTTTTTATTTTTTTATTATGACTATATATAAAAACACATATTTTCTCAATTTACTTTATAAATTATATTTAATTATTAATATATTCATTCAATTTAAATCATAAGTACATAAGAACATATAAATATGTGTGTGGGTGAATATATATATATGAAAGTAAAATTTTAAATTTTAAAACGTAGTTTGATTAATAAATTATCATTTATTTATAAAATTATATACACATAAATATAAATAAAATATCACATGAAAATTTACCAAAAATTAAAAATCTATTCATTTTGATAGGATAAACCTAATATTTTATTGTGAATTAATTGAAAATAATATTAGATTTTATAATTAAAATATCTTAATTATTTTCAAATACAGCTTAATGTTTATTAAATTCATAAAATTTATTAAGATAAATAAAAATGCATATATAATTTATACTGTTTATTATATTTATTAAAATCCGAATTATGTAATTTTTAAATACAGCTTAATTATTAAAAATTACGCAATTCGAAATTTAATAAATTTTAATGAATTTTAAAAATAACATTAAGATGTTAATATAATCTAAATTCCTTAAGAAAGTAAGAAGAATCATAGAGCATTTTAGAATTTTATTTTTTTATGAATTTGGGTTTTAAAAAAGCATAAGTATGTTTCTAATATTCAAAAATAAAATTTAACATATGATTTTTGTTACATTTCAAATCAATATTTTTATGTATAATTCAAATTAACTTATGGTAATATTTTACTATTTGACACCATTTGAAACAATAGATGATTACGAGATTTACACCATAATTACATAATTGCATAATTACAGCATAAATTCTACTCAATTTATTTATTCTAATAAAATGAATCTTTTCAAACTTTACTTCTATAGTAATTTAAAATTTCAAAATAAGTTATCTAAATTGTGCATAATCTTGTAAATTATCAAGTTTCTCATTGATGACTTCAAAAAAATTTAATTAATAACTTTAAATATATTAAAATGCATAAATTTTTTAATAAAAAATCAATTAAAATAGTAACAAAGTAAAATGCGTGTTTTGATATGTTTTGAGATTTTTAGATAGATATCCATGTCTACATTCAAGAGCTATATATGTTATTAATAAAATGTTAAAATAATATTAATAATAATAATTTTTTAATAAAATAAACTTAAAATCATATATAATACTGTGTTAGCCTATAACCTCAAAATTTCTTAAATAAACTTTTGGTTCTTTTCAAAGATATTCAAAAGCTGCTGGCATCCAATTTAATCATTGTTATAAATAAGTTTATAGCAAAGTAGCATAGTAGATAGACAAAACAAAATGAAAATACTAGGAACAAATAAGATAAAAGGCACTGAAAATGTTTGATATATGACATAATTCAAAAAAATATATATTTAGATGTAGTAAACTTATTAATAGCATTTTAAAATGTATAAATATATTTTTCAATAATATCTTTAATTTAAAAAATATATAAATTGTCATTTAAGTATTTTTCTTCTCCCCCTCTCCTTTTTTTTTTTTTTTTTTTTTTTTTTTTTTGTTTCTTAATGACAGCCTTACCATTCTTATTACCTATTTATTTTTTACTATTGAGTTGTTCTAATTTATCTTCATTTTATTTAATATCAAGTATAAAATTACAATTTATAAATATAATAAAGTTTGAAGCTGAATGGGATAAAATGTTTATAAAAAATGCCACTAAAAAGAT